AGTGATCTAACTGTCAGCAGTGAAATGTTAGTGTTTTGTAATAATCTTACAGTAATTAGTGACCTGTTAGTGTTTTGTAATAATCTTACAGTAATTAGTGACCTGTTAGTGTTTTATAGTGATCTTACAGTAAACATTGACTTGTTAGTGTTTTGTAGTGATCTAACTGTCAGCAGCGAAATGTTAGTGTTTTTTAATAATCTTACAGTAATTAGTGACCTGTTAGTGTTTTGTAATAATCTTACAGTAATTAGTGACCTGTTAGTGTTTTATAGTGATCTTGGAATAAACATTAACTCGTTAGTGTTTTGTAGTAATCTTAAACTAAACAATGAGTTGATGTTTTGTAGTAATCTTACACTAAACAGTGACTTGTTAATGTGTTGTAGTAATCTTACACTAAACAGTGACTTGTTAATGTGTTGTAGTGATCTTTTGTCTATAATATTATTATTTTCAAAAACTGATGGCTCAAAATATCTGAAAAGCATAAAAGAATTAAAACGTTTTTTCTAAATATTGAAATATAAGTAGTTCTTATCAAGTTGTCAGGTTTAATTTGGCAATTCTATTTTTTTCAAAGCTTTCTTCAAAGTATGGAAAATATGAACTAATATTTTCTTTGAAACAAAAAAAAATTACAATCTGTAACATTACTGATATTTTAAAAAACCTATAATTCAAAATATACGAACAATTTTAAAGAATTTTATTTTTATTACAATTAAATTGTAAATAAAAATGCCCTATTGATTTGGTTATGACTGTTTGTTTCAGTTATTGAACTAGCTGCCATAAATATGGTATTTTTACTTCTTAATATAATTTTTCTAATCGTATCAACTATAGTAGTCACCTGTCAGCAAGCAAAGAACTTGATTGAAGCAGGAGTGGATGGATTGCGAGTTGGGATGGGTTCTGGATCCATCTGTATTACACAAGAAGGTAAGACAATTATGTTAATGTAGCACTGAACCTTAAAACTTGGCAAATTTACATGCTGAGGAAACTGTTAAACACTTCTTATAACCTTCAAGTTAAGACAAAACACAAGTATGATGTCACAATCTCTGAAAGTACACTTTTAGTCATGTATGTCATATGTATAATTAATACGATAGAGATAAAGAAATACATAACATAAACTGTTTTAACACCATAACTTTACTTAGGAAGGATAAAAACATGTAAAAATTGATACACATACTCTTTGTGAACATCATTATAGATTGAATTAAAAACTTTGCAAATTTTCTGCAACATTAATGAGCTATGGGCAATTAATTTTAATTAGTGCCTTCATTAGTGGTAATTAGACTCATAACAAGAAAATTGGTAAAGATATTTGAATTAAAAAAATTCAAGCTATGGAAGAGCATAATATCAACAAGTGTGTTAACTTTCATGCTGATATAGGCTTTAATGGTGAAGTTATCATGCTAATAAATTGGTAAATCCAGTGAAAACTGTGTTTTGAGAAAATAGCTGTTAAGACAAAAATGAGTTATTTATGTAGAAAAGTGGTTAAACTTTCAATTTAGGCTAAATTTGACAAATGTGATTTTTTGAAATATTGGGGTTGCTCTTTAAGGGTCAGTGCTACTATAATAGATAACAATCTGTGTGTGTGTGTTACTATTCTTCAAGAAAACCTTACAATAAAATACAGACAGTTATCAAATAAATTTAGAATAAGCATTTATTTAAGTAGTGAGATTATTATTTATTAATAATGTCTGACTAGGTTATATAAAATTCTGTAAAACAAAACATATGAACAAAGTAGTGCAGTGTCTCTGCATGTTGGTAAGCCATTTGGAACAGAATGTTTTGTCAATAATTTGAATTTTTTAAATGGCTTATACATTAAAAAAAATGCAGCTTGAAGGAGTGTTTTGAATGTTTGTTGCAGCTCACGATGAAACATGTAACTGAGATATCAACTAAAATGTAAATGTCGGGGAAAGTTTACTGACATGGCATTAATGTAATAAAGTGTTATAAAGCCAGCTATCACAAAAATTCCAATTCTTGTTTACTTTATGTTCTTATCTTAGCCCTGAAAGTTTTTTCCAAGTGTTGAGTGATCATTTTATTTTTAAGTGATGGCAGTTGGACGTCCTCAAGCGACAGCAGTGTACAAAGTTGCAGACTACAGTCGACGATATGGAGTACCCATAATTGCAGATGGTGGAATCCGTTCGGTTGGACATATCATCAAAGCATTGAGTCTGGGAGCTTCTACAGGTAGTGAGGTATTTAGGCTCAGTCAGTGAAAAATATCTCATGCATTATACTACTTTATATGAAAGCAGAACTTTTAATAATTTTTTGTATTATAGTAGTGCTGAGTAGTACACTTGTTATACTTGTGAGAACAACAATTGCTGTATTTAATCCTTAATAACAACAGGCCTGTATTGGTTTTATTGTCTTGAAATTTTTACATGTGCTACAGTAATCTTGTGCGTTGAATCCGAAAATAATATCCATTTTTCTCCATCACATACAGATTTTTCACAAAACGTCATAATGCAATACATTAAAGAATGACCACTACACGTAGTTTTGAGACTAAAAGACATAGATTTCACAAAAAAATCAGGATGAATGAGGATGCATATTCTTTTGACATTAATGTTCTTCCCTTTACTTCAGTTTGTTTGTATTTTTTTTAAACAAAAATAATAATATAAATTGTTCATTGTGGTAAAAGAAACAATATTTTGATGTAACTAGGAGTTTTTTCTTCCTGATTTGTAAAAAATGAATATTATTTTCAAAATTTGTGTAGCTGAATTATGGAAAATTTGTTACTAAAATCAAAACAACTTTTATGAAGTTTAAATTTGCAGGCCTGTGTAATTAATAATACATTTAATGCCTCCAAAGAAAAGATTTGTTCACAATATTCAATTACAATTTTCATCAAAACATAAAATTTTTTTAAATAATTAAAAAATGGGAAATTATACTTATAAACAATAAGTCCAATATCAAACATACACTGTAATTAAACATAATAGAAGACTTAAAATTAAAAGAAAAGTGCTTTTAGTACTGGACTCCTTTCTCAGGGATAGAGAGATAAAACAAACGTATTTAATGTAAAGGTGGAGTTGTTTGTCTATCCGTTTTGCAGACAGGAAAAATTTTTTTAGTGTGCATATGGTATATTTTAATTATATTTAGTTTACCAAAAGGATATTAAAAATTATGCAAAAACTCTTTTTAAATGAAGTGAAAAATGAGATTTCAATAAAAAATGCCTTTAACTTTTTTTGTGTGCCATTGATTTTTTATAACTTGTAATGAACAAAACTATTTGAAAAAATAGGTTACCACATTATTAAATTTAAATAAAAAGAAAAGATAATGTGTTACAAACTATAAGCTTATACAAGTTACTTTAATGATGAAATGAATACTTATTTCCAGTACAGCAGTACAGATGCATTGTTAACCTTAGAATTATGAATGGGGTTTAAAATGGACCTCACCAACTTTGAATCACATTTCTCTAAACTGTTTATGCAACAAAATGCTTGTGGTCCAAGATATGTTAGATTCAAAGTCCCCTATAACATTTTAGAAACAAAATGTAAGCTAAAAATACCAGGAACACTGCAAGTAATCTCACTAATCACTGCTGATGTTCCCGGTACATCTTACATAGAAAATGAAGGATTTCACCCAAATGTTTTTTGGTGAGTCCATTACACTGAACATTGTAACAGACAAAAGCATAAAATTATTCAATACGATGCAATGTGTGGATGCTACCATTAGTGAAGGTATAAAAACAAGTTGGTAATTTGAAGGTTAAGTAAGTTCAGTTAACTAACTACTTTTCACCAGTCAGTTTTAGTCTTTTATCGATATAGGCAGAAATAAGATAAAAATTATGTTGAAGCACTAGAAGACTAGGTATGTGGTGTAAAAATTAAGAACAATTTGTAAACTAATAATATACTCAGTAAAATACTTTTACATTTTTTTTGTATTAAGTAATATGTTTGGGCTATCACCATGCTTTTTGGTTTGTTTTTTTAATGCGCAAGCTCTCGGCTCAATTACCTAAGCCTTCTACATGGATGATAGTCCAGATAAATTACTTAATACAAATATGAGTACTCAGATTAAAAGCCTATTTTTTATGCCTATTTTACAGTTATGATGGGCTCTCTTCTGGCTGGAACAAATGAATCACCTGGTGAATACTTTTTCTCTGATGGAGTCAGATTGAAAAAATATCGAGGAATGGGATCTCTCGATGCAATGGAATCTCGAGAAGGAAGTGGAAGTCGCCATAGATATTTCCAGAGGTAACATTCACGATTATTCTGTTGGGCATATTTTATATTGTTTTGGTTAGAGTATGGCAGGAGAGTTACATTAGGATTAGATTAAAATTTTTTGCTATATAGTAATTTTTATAAGTATCTAAAATAATTTTCTGCTAGGTATTGGGTTCATCAGTAGTTATACTACATATAATTTCCTTCTGTCGTTAATGACCAGTTTATCTTTTGTTACTGCTGTATTGTAATTGTGTTATAGGACATTTTATTATTAGTCGTTTTTTTATTTTGTTTTGGAAGTGTAATAAGATTTTTTTTACCAAGGTTCTTCTAATTGTACATTATAGGTTTTATTGTCTATGAAGGTTGTTGTTTGCATGTTTCGTGTGTTAATAAAAAGTAGACAAGTTTGAAGCAGAAAACAGCAAATGAATAAATTTTTAATTGATTTATAAAATTTTAGGAATTTCACCAAAATGCACAAAATTATTTCCTCGATGTTATAATGATGTTCTGTTACTGCCATTTTTTTAAATGTTTCAAGAACATTGTGTTTATTATATAATTTCAGTGAAGATGATAAAATTCGGGTAGCTCAGGGAGTTTCAGGTAACATAGTTGACAAAGGTTCAGTGCATCGTTTTGTACCATATTTGATCACTGGCATTAAATATGGTTGTCAAGATATTGGAACCAAAAGTCTCACTGCTCTGAGGTTTGTTTCAACTTTCATACATATTGTCTAGTAGTTGTATTTTTTTGTTTTCTCTTAAGCTAACAATGATGTATACAGTAGTTGAAAACTTGCATTAATGTAAAAGTAGTGTATTGTCTTTGGTCATTGAAGGTTTCTTACAGTTGTTTAGAAACGTTACTTTTAACAAGATTGTTTATGCTTTAGTTTCACTTTCTAGCAAGATGTTCGTTGTAGAATCAGTTCAGTGTACTACATTTTGTTCTTAAAGAGACTTTCTTAATGTTTGTACAACTTTTTAATAAACAATTATATGTTTCTAAAATATTTCCTTTAGACAAATTCTTCTGTATTCAACAGATAAACAAAGTTTGTTTGTTCAAGTTAAATATTTCTATTGTTTACAGAGCTATGATGTACTCTGGTGAACTAAGGTTTGAGAAGAGAACACTTTCAGCTCAGATCGAAGGTGGAGTCCATGGATTACATTCGTAAGTTGTTATCGGGGTTGAAAATCTAACATCTATAAGTGTGTGTGTAATGTGTGTCATGTTACACAGTACCAATCATTATAAACTGAATGCAGTAGAAACAGAAATCATAGAAATATAATTTTAAAATGTTCATTATACATGTGCTCAGAGTTATTGTGACAGTTTAAACGACTTTTAAACATAATGTAATTATAAAGGTAAAGTGAGTGGATTGTTTGAGTAAATACGTGATTCAGCATATATTGTGACATCCATAAGATTAGGTTTCCACTGGTTCATCAGTTTTGACAAACAGGGACATATAAAGAGTTAGAAGCTAATAGTTGTCATGGTTTAAAAAAATGCAATAGTTGTATTTGAACTGAACATGTCATTGGATTTGTAGTTTGCAAACATTATAAGTTACTTTATGATTAATTATAAGAAACTTTGCTCACAAAGTATTTATGTTTCAAGGTTGGATTAAAACTTATGACAAGAAGACACAAAGAGAGCCAGGATGTAAGGCTCATCTTTTAATAATTGGCCAGAAATATTTATTATATGTTCCTGCATGCTTTTTTAAAGACAGATTATAATGTATTTGATTTTTCCTATCTATTTCCAAGAGAAGTAAACAGGATTTCTCTACAGTTCAGTTTCTACTCCATTCTTTTACATCTAAACCAAAAGGTAACTTAAACTGTTAATTTTCAATTCAAAGAAATGTATAAAATGCTTAGTCATCATGTTTGCAGCATATATTATTTTACCAGTTGGTTAAAATGTTTATAATGTAGATACATGCATCAATAACTATGTTTGTAGCATAGTTGTTTTTACCAGTGGGTTAAATCATGAATCACAGTAGTGGTTCATAATAGGGATTGACCATGTTTTGACGAAACATTAATAGAGAGCGCGGCAAAATCCACATTTGAAAGCAAACTCGTTCCTGAAATAACACTTAAAATCTTCCTTTGCAATACTTAAAGCTACACACGTTTAAAAAATTCAGAAGAAATATGCTATCTCTTACTTAGGACAAATCTAAAATCTGCCAAAAACTGCTCAGTTGTTCATATTATTATTCTTCCTTTTGCCAGCCTACAGCAAAAATGGCTTGATATATGATCATTAGGGTAGTTGATTTTTAGCTCCACTAAATGTAATTCTAGGTAAGAATATGGAGCCAAAATAAGGGTTTTTAGATTGAGTAAATAATGTCTATAGTATCTCCAGCCTTGTTTCCTTACTTTTTTCTTTATGATCCTTATTTACAGGTTTTTAAGTTCCCAATTTTTTACTTATGTTGTTGTTAATAATGTTAAAGATACATGCATCAGTAAACATGTTCACAGCATAGTTGATTTTGCCAGTTGGTTAAAGTGTTAATAATGTAAATACATGCACAGGAAGGATGGCTGCGAGGCTCATAAGCAGTATTATCTAGATTAGTAGAAGTGGGAAGAAACTGGAAATGATAAACCAACTAAATGTACATATAACTTGGTTTCTAATTCTTCTTATGAAAACACATTTTTTACCATGATATATAATCCTGTGATTTTTTGACTTATAGTGAGTTTGATTCTATAACTATAAAGTTGCAACTTAAGTTCTTTGTCATATTTTGTCTTTTTTATTATACAAGATGGGCCATAGTGAACCTTGTAACAAAAGTACTGAGTTTACTAATTCATTTCATATAACTTTTTATAAAGTAACACAAGCATTGATATTGGTGGTGGACAGTGTCGTCTTAAGGTGCAGATTAACTGGGCTGTAGCCCAGGGCCCTGAACCCTTCAGGGCCCCCATCCAAAATATATTGTCTGTATTTGTATTTTTTAAGTATGATCTTTGTGGATGGGACCCCAATTCACACTTAACCCAGGGTTCCCAATATCTAGACGGTGCTACTGGTGGTCACCTTGGAACATTTATGTTAAACTGGTTCAGTGATTATGAAAGCACAGGTTAATCGTGAAGAAAAATGTATCTTATGTTAGTAGTAGTTTTTAATATTTTTTTTGGGGGGTGTGTGTGCAGTATATGACTATCCTTTCCTTCCTCGAGTGACATAAATCAAGATACACTTCTAACAAAAAGTTCCTTAACTGCAGCATGATCATCAAGGTTCTTGATTTAATTATGAGATATCCTGATTAGGTGAATTAGAGGACATAATTTAGTCTAATCTGTGTACATAACTTTAAGGTCAATAAATATGATTCTGGAGTAGGAACTGTTATTAGACATGCATTGTTTGATTGACAGCTTATGGAACAAAGAGGCAGGTTCAATACATAACATAAGTGAAATGTGTATTTAGAAGAGAGAACTATACTATTATCAAATATTTAGTAAAAAAATGTATGTAAAGTATTATCCTCTGATTTTATTTATGAAAACCACTATTATATTAAAACCATAGCCCCCCAGTGGCACAGCGGTATGTCTGAGGACTTACAACGCTAGAATCTGGGTTTTGATACCCGTGGTGGGCAGAGCACAGATAGCCCATTATGCAGCTTTGTGTTTTATTACAAACAAACAAATTAAAACCATCAAATTATTTTAATAGTTTTGAACTTGTAATATTTATATTTGTTTGATAATTTTTTTTGTTCATATAGGTTTGAAAAGAAGCTATTTTAAACGATGAGAAGAATGGAAAAACGATATATGTAGCTTAGTAGTATTAGTATGTCTGGTGCCAGCTGCTTTTGTTATATGTTGAAGGAGTAACTGTGCTGGAAGCAGTGCATAACATTCCAAGCTTTAAAGAAACAAAATACTAATTTGTGGATTTGTTTTTGTTACTGCAGAAATGTTTATTATTATTTCTAAATTTCTGTTTCTTTTCTTCATTTATTATGCCAAGGTTTTTACAATATAATCTGTTCTTCTCAGATAATTAGCTTGAGTAGTTTATTTTAATGAACTGATAGGTAATGTAGTGTTAGTTAGTTGAAATTCACATATTGAAGATCACTGTTTTTTACTTGAATTATTTGCTGAGGCTAATGTAAGTTAAATATTTGATAACACTATATAGCTTGTTTTTTTTTTTGTTTTTTTTTATAAGTCATAGTTTGTGTCGTACTTTTTAGAATTTTTTAACATAATCAAGTCCAATTAAATGATTTTTTTGTTTCATCAAATATAAAAGGCATTATTCACAAAGGAGGAATCCCAATTTTTTGTTTGTTTTTGATAAAATATTTACAGTTGTTCATAGGGGTGGAAGTTGCATTAAACTCAATGCATGATAAAATATATACACAGTGGTTGCAAAAGCTCTTATAAGGCTCTGTCAGTGGAAAATTTATGGACTTAAATCACTAAAATCCACAGTTCAATTCCCCAAGATCACAGATAGCCTGTTGTGTAGCTTTGTGCTAAAGCAACAACTGTTAGTTGCAAGGTGCATTAGACTAGACTAAACTAGCTCCCTTATATGGTAAAATGTATATTCAGTGGTTACAGTAGCTGATAGAGCTCTGTCACTTTATTAACTGAATCATTGCATCATTTGAAAGATGATAAATTTTAGATCGTAAAAAAACAATTTTGTACACTTATTTAGAAATATGATTCAGAAATTTGGATATTTATAGATTACACATGACTTCCATATAGTTTTAAAAAAGGTTAAATTAAACATCAGCTGAAAAATGGACATTTAATAATTAAGAAACCTTTGTAATTTGTAAGAGAAATGTAGGACTTGTTTTTTGTAATAGTTACAAACATTTATTTTCTAATGTGAACCAATCTAGGAGCTACTTTTTGTGTTCTCATTAGCCTAATTTTTGTATTATTAAACATCGGCTGAAAAATGGACATTTAATAATTAAGAAACCTTTGTAATTTGTAAGAGAAATGTAGGACTTGTTTTTTGTAATAGTCGCAAACATTTATTTTCTAATGTGAACCAATCTAGGAGCTACTTTTTGTGTTCTCATTAGCCTAATTTTTGTATTATTAAACATCGGCTGAAAAATGGGCATTTAATAATTAAGAAACCTTTGTAATTTGTAAGAGAAATGTAGGACTTGTTTTTTGTAATAGTCACAAACATTTTTATTTGTAATTTGAACCAATCTTGGAGCTCCTTTTTTTTCCCCCATTAGCCTAATTTTTATATTAACTTTGCCAGTGATTACAGTGTCTGACTGCACTCAAGATAATGTGCAGTAATTGTTGAAGAATAGCTCAAATTTTCCAACTTATTGAAGCATTGCTTGTTAATTAGAACAGTGATTCTCAGAATTGGGGCACGAGATGGTTCATAAAAAATAAAATTAAAAATTCATACTATTGTATACTTGCGTGTCTGTTTGAATCTGTGGTGCACTAAAATTTTTAATTGTTAGTGACAATGTCAAATTAGATTTCTTCATGTATATGTGTGTGTGGATTGGGCTTCAAGAATCATGGATAAGAGGAAAGGGGTTGTTTAAAAAGTTTGAAACTGAATTAGAGAACAGGTAATAACAATTTAATGGTACAATACGTGAAGAGTTCGGAAAATTATTTTACATCTTAATAAATGATACTAAACGTCAGTTTACTTGATATTTTAAAACTGTTACACATTTTCAGACCTCTAAAATTGCTCATTTACTTCATTAATCATGTGGTATTGCCTTTAATCTTGAAGAAGAAAAGGAAACATCATTATTTCTTCTAATTATGTTAAGTGTGTAATGTAATAATTGGTTATGTTAAACTGAGGTTTTGCTACCAAATTCATATAAAATGTTAGAACACCCCTCGGATACTGCTCATTTAGAAAATACATTTTATTTTGTAACATTGCAGAGCTTGTAATGAGTAAAAAATTTTTTACACATACACTTCACCAGTAACTTTGGTTAAATAATTCCAGTTGTTTTTAAATAAGGTTGAATTAGTTAATTATAAAATATAGATTGAAAGTTAAGTTTCATACATCGAAAGTATCGATCTACTCATAACTTGTCAGCCAATACCTAAGAATTCTTGTAAGTAGCAAGTCTCCTCTGCAAAGAATTTCAATCTTAGAGTTTGGTTGTAGTTAGGTTCTGTTTAATTGTTGTATATGTTCCATAGTATTTCTTTTTTTTTTCTTACACTTTATTTACTCATGTCTCAAGTGCATTTAATGTTTATATTAGACAAGTGGTAACTGATGATGTGTACACACAAACACATGTGTGTTAAGATGGAGTTTTTCCCTCCATAATGTTTTTATTTTGCTCACAAAGTTTCAATCACAGGTACAAAAACTCTATGTAATGTATTAATACATACATTTATCACCCTTGTTTTCAACCCTCATCAGTGTTTCAAAAATAAATTCTTTTAGAAAGTTTGTTTCTTGTAAGTTCAATCATGTGTCATGTACAGTGAGGATCTGATGTGAAATATCCCAGCTTGAGTTGGTGTCAACAATTGAAAGTTACATGAGCTTAAAGCTAATAAGTTACACAATTATTTATTATAATTAATGTATGACTAGTGACATTAAACTGTAGGTAAGAAATTTCTTTTTATACTTGTGCTCACCTACTTTGGATCATACTTTTAAAGAGGATAGAATTTTAGTGTTAATTATTGAAGAATTATTAATGAACCTTAACTTTAGACAAGTTCAGTTATTCCTTTCGTTAATTGAAATTTCGTTTGTAATCATGAGAATCAACTATTTTGGTAGAAGTTAACGAATAAATGTGCAGTTCAGAGGTGGATAATGCTTTTCAAGTGACAAATCTCAGTTTAAGGTATTTGAATGAAACAATGTAAGAAAATACATGATCTTTGTTTTCTAAAAAAAATTATCAGGATATTACTAACCTAAGTATTCTGTCTTATTGTATGATTGAAAACTTTGTGATTTTTTATTCTATATCAGTTGATGTCTGTGAAGGTAATTTTTTGAAATCTATAGTTGACAAATTCAGAAGAATATGGATTTGCATTCTCACATGATTTTAATCACAAAACTATACTTATACATTTGTTAGGGAAGAACAAATTTTTAGTTTATTTGATTTGTAATGAAACAACAAGTGTTAATGAACTCAAAGTAATTTCACACACTTTTCCCATAGCTCTTATATGGAAGTTACGAAGAATGGTAAAAACTGACAGTTTTAGTTTGAGGTTCAATCAAAAGTTGTTGTAACAAAACTAAGGTCCGAATTCCTTAATCAAAACTATGAAGTTTGTGTATAAAAATATCACATTAGGTTCATCTCTTGTGTGCTATATGTTACTGCTCAGAAAGCCTTTGGGTAGATATCAGAACTTCTAAACTGGGCTGGACAATGGGAGAAAAACTTCTTATAAACACTATTTATGTACACAACACAAGAACTCTTAGGATACTATTCAAACTATTCAAGTTTAAGCTGTATTTGAAGTGTATTTTTTTCCAACTTTTTTAAATTATTGCAACAAAAAATTCTCAAGTAAGACTTTTATGTGATTTCAGTGACCATTTTCGATCTGTGGGAAAACATTCTAAATGATTGTAATTTTAAAGTTGTCCATAACAGTATATTTATGTAGTGTTTCAGTATTCACTAGTTGTACCACAAGGCTTCAGAATGTTATCATCCTCTCATTGGAGCTTTTACATAAGAGACATATACTAACAGACATATACTAACAGACATATACTAACAGATATATACTAACAGACATATACTAACAGACATATACTAACAGATATATACTAACAGACATATACTAACAGACATATACTAACAGATATATACTAACAGACATATACTAACAGACATATACTAACAGATATATACTAACAGACATATACTAACAGATATATACTAACAGACATATACTAACAGATATATACTAACAGACATATACTAACAGATATATACTAACAGACATATACTAACAGACATATACTAACAGACATATACTAACAGATATATACTTTGTTTTCAACAGTAAGTTTTTGATTACTGAATTATCAGTAGGAAGTAAGCATAAAACATTTTACCACAATTCTAAGACTAAATAGCCTTTAATAATTTTGTAAACAACCTTCTGTTTAAGGAACTGTTAATGTTTATTGTCATTAGAACCTAACTAAAAACTTAATTTTTCTGGATAAACATCTCCACTGATTTCTGGTTGTGTACCAGAATGTTCTTTTTTTAAGTGCCAAAATTTTCATGCATGCATATACTTATGAAAATAATAAACAATGGCGATTCTACAAAAAAAAAAAACTTGTTTCATCATTTCGTTAAACACGTGACACTGATGTAAAAAAAATATCATTTTCACACATTAATAAAGTAATATAATGAATAAAGTTTAACTATGTATTGCCTCTTTCGGTTTCTTATCATATGGTATTCAATATACTCTTTAAGTATGATTAAATTAGTGATGTTTTGTAGTTATGATCATTTCCTGAAGAAACTCAAAATCTGGGTCATCAAGCAGGTTCTTCTTTCAACCTATGACCAGGCAAGGCCCAATGGTTAGGATACCCAGACAGCAAAAATGCTTTCCATAATTTGGGGTTATGGGTCCACTAATAGTGATGATCAAGTACCATATTATCAGGTAGACAAAAGGAGCTATGGCCAGGTGATTAGGGCATTCGCCTCTCAATCTGAGAGTTGCGGGTTTGAATCCCTGTCTCACCAAACATGCTCGCCCTTTCAGCTGTGGGGGTGTTATAATGTGATAATAAATTCCACTATTGGTTGGTAAAAGAGTAGTCGAAGAGTTGGTGGTGGGTGGGGATGACTAGCTGCCTTCTCTCTAGTCTTTCGTTGCTAAATTAGGGACGGCTAGTGCAGATAGCCCTCGTGTAGCTTTGCGCGAAGTTCAAAAACAAAAGAAAAAAAAGGGGCTCAAAAATGCCTAGCTGTTTTCACTGCATTCTAGTCTATCATTTCAAAATTAGGAACATCTTTTTTGCAGAGAATTCTGAAACTTTCAACGAATGTATATAGTAACAATGGGCACCAGTGAGAGACTTTTTGCAGATTTGGAGAAGTGGTTATATTTCTAATACTTACCCATGTTTATTGCTAGAATTGTATGCATGTTTAATTTTATCACAATATTTTAAAGCAGTGGATAACATCGTTTAGTGCCCAATGTTACAACTTTGAAGACTAATTCTAGAACATTTTCTTATCATTAATATTCCAAAGTAGTCTTAGTTCAACTGCGTCGTCCAATAGATATATTCAGCATATTTATAAAGCGGTTTGATGTTTAAACTAATATACAAGTGGTGAATGGAGCAAAGAAACATATCAGATTTGGATTTAGAATAATAAGAAAAAGGACCCAGTACCGTACTAAACACATGTACTCTTATTGGGAGCCAGACCAGATGGTTTGATGTAACAACGATTGCATTTAACGCAAGATGTAGTGAACTGCTAATTGTGACCAACTGAAAAAAAGTTCCTATTGGATGACAAATTGTAGCTCTCCAAAACTAATGCAGCGTTTCGTTAATGCGCAGGTCCTGCATATTTCATATTCGCAGCCTAGTATGGTACGTCGATTGGAAGATAGTAGCTCTCTTCATAACTATACGTGTTTTACTAATGCTTCTAAAATCTTAGGTTTAATTTTTTCGAACTACCATTTTCTATAACCCAGTGAATACCGCATACAACTTTGTATCCGTCCTATAAACATAACAACCAAACAGTGCTTGAATAAAAATATTTAAAAACTTTACCAACCGTTGAATGCGATTGGCTGATAGAGCATTGAGAAAATGTACAATTTATTATTGTCTTAACCTACGTAGGAAGCTATAGAAAAAATGTTTGTTAATACCAGAACAGCAAACAATTGTAGTAAAAAGGTCAACAAAATGTAAAATTCATAAGCTCGATTTATAGAAACCTTGTGATTATATTGTGGCACAGTGGCATTTCTGAGGGCTTAAAACACTAACAATTGGATTCAGGTACCTGCTGTGGGCATAGTACAGATAGCCCATTTGTGTAGTTTGCTTAAAACGAAACAAATATAGTGATATCGTAGCTCAGTCAATAACTACATTATTGCGTGTTCCATTAGTAATGCTGAAATAGCTAATAACAATTATCCAAATTTGATGCCTAGACCTTCATAAACACGTAGGTTTTTGCTCGAGGTCTTTGGATAGGAAAGCCCTTAAAGTCTATTGTTGCACGTGACGATATAACTCACTTTTTACAGATAGCTAATCACATGTTTTAACCTAAAGATGTGTTAAAAATATAGCGGAAAGTTAGTTATCTTAAACAAACCACTTCCCAAGATGCAGTATAGGGTGAAAAAATATTTAATAATTCCAGCAGTTAGATACAGTAACTGTTGCGTCACGTCCAGCCCAGACTGCAAAGACGTAGCACAATACAGTGGAAGAAGCTTAATTTGCTGGTTTCTTTTAGTGATATTTTATGGTATTCTTTTTCTCGTCTGTTGTAGATAGAAGTCCTAAAAGTTTGATTTTATTTCAAACTTCTACAACCAACTACACCAAAGATAAAAAGTAATTGCCCCCCCCTACATTTACTTTTCTATAATTGTAGTTACGATTTTGGGTCTGATTCGGGTCTCCTTTGGCTTCCCTCCGCGGACCCCTTTTGATCACCTCCACAATTGCGGGGGAATACTTATGCCACTGTTTTAAGCATAAATATAAAAATATAAAATTCACGAGTTAACCGTCATTTATCCTTCCCATTTGTTACAATTCCTATTTCATGTTATTTTCTTCCTGGTTTTGTTATTAATCATTAAAATTAAAATACAGTACTTTGCGATGTTGTCTTTCAAAAATATACTCATCCTTAGTTTTCGGTTTCTAATCATGTACATGTATGAACTACGTTAAGATTTTTCTTTTTAATTTGTAACAATTTGGGGGATGGGACAGCTGAGATGGCCCAAACAGCTATCCAGTTCACAATAAAAATTTGGGAATTAAAAAATCTGCAAATAGGGATCGTAAAAAAGTAATGAAACAAGGCTGGTGATACTGTATACATTATTTACTTGAACTACAAATCTATATTTTGACTCCACCAAATGTAATTTCAGGTAAAAGCCTTGTTTCCTTACTTTTTTACGATCCTATTTGCAGGTTTTTTAATTCACAGTTTTATATTTATCTCGTTTGTTGGCTTTTTGTTATGCTCAGCTGTTGACAAAGGATTACTTGATATGGTAGCTAACTTTATTCATTGTAATGATAATAAACATAGCTAGTAGCTAGCTGATACGGTTCATGATGATTTACTGTAGCTATTGGCTATTTGATCGAATTAATTTGAGATATAAAATATTAAGCTACAGTTGGAGATTGTCATAGAGATTTGTTTTAGAATATAGTGAACATTTATAGTTTCTGTGTAACTAAATTATCTATATATAATGCATAGCAATGGCCAAATATATGCCTAGACTAAGACACAATCCCCACAAAGCGCGTATAAAATTTTATCAGTAGAAAAGCAGCCTTTTCAAATAAAACATATATACGTCTAAAACATCGCTTTAAATAAATCTTCGTGTATTATATGGTAATTATTCTACGAATTTGTGTAGTAAAATTTAATATTATGTGTATTGATATTTTTTACTCCTTTACTTCATACATAATAAAGTGGTTGGTTGCCTAAAGACACAGATTGTATAGTGTACAAAGCATTGAGTATCTACATGTTACAATCATCTAATGTTCATCTATTATTGGCTGGTAATTCTTGTTTTACCCTGTACTTAAGCTTTTTAAAGGAACACCAGATATGTTTAAGAAAGCGTTAATGATAACATCGTTTACACTATAACTGTGAGATTTCTTTAGCTTATGTAAAATACAGAAGAAACAAATCGACTTTTCTATACCCCTACGACCTTCACAGTACCTTATATAGTATTCTACAAAGGGTTTGGGTACAATATACCTAGCTTTTTGTATTGTAAGCTGGATAGAGAATAATGATAACAATTACAAACGAGCCGGGCCGTTTTGAGCGGATTTTCTTTTCCTTGTAAATCTAACATACATACATTTTTGTGAATTTTTATATGTGTGCAGCCTTAGCAGTCAATAATAAAGGTTTTAAAGTATTGTTTGAACTGAATCTGTACTGTTTAAGATGATTGTTGCCCGAACGTTCTATTAGGGTTTTGTACAATTCCTTGCGATCCCTATTATGAACCACTATCGTAGTTCGTGATTATCAGCTAAGTTTACCGTTACAACATTAGTTTAGTTAAATTGTATATATTTAGTTATATTTACTTTACCTGTCACATCACGTCTCGTGTTTTTGGGTACACAATGTACTACTCTAAGAATACATGAGTGAAGAGGGGGGCGAGGAGAAGTGATGTTATGCGTTTTTAGAAAGGCTACATATCACATTTGACTAGTTGTTTCTTTCTTGTTACATTTAGCCTTGTTATATAATTTTATATTTTTTATTTATTTATTGTTTTAGTGCCTTCATGGGCATTGAGTTTGTTTGTGCCTTGATAAGGTTGATGAATCCAACCTGACACGAGTTTTACAAAACATCTGACATTAACTGTCACACTTAACAAGTTAAATATTAGGGGAGACGTACAGTTTCTTTGGTTGTAAGAGAGAGCTAGTCTGTAAAGAAATACACGTGCACAACTATGGTTGAGAACGAAAACTAGTGTTTATAAATTTTACTGCGTAGAGTTTTGCCGCCCTATCGAAGTAGGGGTAAAACCACCATAACTAAACTATCAGTAATGATGATTCATACGACGTCTTGCTCCAAAAATGAAAATAAACTAAATTAACTATACGCCTGGAAAAAAAGTTAAGCACCTCCAAATATTTTTCAGGATTGCTTATTGAAAAT